TCATGTCTTTATGTGCTCTTTAAATTTGCGGAACTTCACGCCCTCAATTATTTGGAATCAAAGAACTTCAAGTTCTAATTCAATAAATAAATAAAAACTCCAAGTCTTAATCTAGTTATATGATGAGGATCGAGTAACTTCGGGCCCTGATCTTTTGTATAAAACAAACTCATTATAACAAGTTGTAATTAATTAAGATAATGCTTAAAATTAAATAAAATAAACAAGTAAAAAAAAATATGGCATCATATTCAAGTGTAATAAGAATAAGAAACTTTTTTTTTTTTTCCTTAAATGAGCATGATGAAGTCTGATGGTGAGTACAAAGAAACTCTATACCATGTGATGACTCTAGCTCATAAAAGAAAATGGGGAAATCAGAGAAAGAAAACATACCAAGAGCAATATCGCGCTGATAACGTGTTATAAAACTAGGGGGAATTGTAGAGAGCAATAAAAAAAAGAGAAATACAGAGAATTTGTTATATGACCTTGTATCAACTTCTCTTATTCATCTTTGATAAGCGCCTATTTATAGGCATACAATAGAGGTATTTAACCCACAATTTATAGCAACTTATTACAATAACAGTAATGCTATTTAGACACACAATATTGACCACCTTAGCTGACCACCTTATGTGGCAGCTGATGTATTTTGCCATGTCAATTAATGAATGTTGCCATGTGTATTCTATTGTTTTTTTTCCAAAAATCCTTTAAAACCAAAAAAATAAAAAATTGAAAATCAAATTAAAAAAAACCCTAGCATCCCTGGCAAGTGGACTCATGTCGCTCTCAATTCTTCCTCGCGTCTCCACAGCACTCCCTTCCTCCATTGTTGTTGCACTCTGATAAGAGAATCACTAGAATGTGGCTAAGAGTTGGAGTCCCCCCGTATTCTCTACTTTGGTTCTCTCATTGCCTTCCTTCCTCCACCAAATTTATCCATCCCCATCCTCCATTGTTGTTGGTGAGAGTTAGAGTTTTCTCAATATGAATGAAATTTGCAATCCTGGGCGATTGGGTGGGTTGAAGAATGGAGGGGTTCACTTGTCTATTCTTCTCCAAAAGCCTATTTGAAGGGAGGTTGAAGATTGAGGTATATACCCAATTTTTAGAGTAATTTTGTTGTAAAAATTGTTGTATAGGTTCTTAGTTTTTGTTTCTTGAATCTGCAATTTGTTGTAAAAATTGATTAGTGTAACTAGTTGGGGTCTAGCTAGCGTGTAGTTCATGGGTACTGGGGTCTAGCTAGCGTGTAGTTCCTATAATACATATGCAATGATACACATTCAGTTGACATTATAGTACCCAGTAGCCATGAACTACACGCTAGCCAGACCCCAACTAATTACACTAATCAATTTTTACAACAAATTGCAGATTCAAGAAACGAAAACTAAGAACCTATACAACAATTTTTACAACAAAATTATACTAAACATTGGGTATGTACCTCAATCTTCAACCTCTCTATCAGACAGGCTTTTGGAGAAGAATAGACAAGTGATCCTCTCCATTCTTCAACCCACCCAATTGCCTAGTTCATTCTTATTGAGAAAAGCAGAGTAGAGAATGAGAAGCAGAATTAGAAAAGCAGAGTAGAGAATACGGTAATTGAGGGGACTCCAACTCTCAGCCACGTTCTAGTGATACTCTTATCAGAGTGCAGGAACAATGGAGGAACGGAGTGCTATGAATGGAGGCACGAGGAAGAATTGAGAACGACGTGAGGCCACTTGCTAGGGACGTTAGGGTTTTTTAATTTGATTTTTAATTTTTAATGTTTTTGTTTTTTGAAGGATTATTGAAAAAAAGAAAAAGAAAAAATAGAATACACATGGCAACATTCATTAATTGACATGACAATACACATCAGTTGTCACATAACGTGGTCAGCTAAGGTGGTCGATATTGTGTCTAAATAGCATTACTCCTTATATTTATGTATGTGGCTGGCTGGGCTGGGGGATTTATAGCCCAAAAAGTGGACCATTGCGATGGATTTTCGGCTTATTTTGCTACATCTTGGAGCCCTATGACGGTTCAGCTTGATTTACAATCCCCATTGGGCTTGCCCTAAGTAAAATAAAGTATACGTTCATGTTAATTGAATGAATCATTCTATAGTGAGAGACTTATATATGACTCTTAGGTGATGTCTTATTTCTTAACTATTGTATTAGACTAACTAATTTGATCCAACGATTAAAAAATAGACCTCACATAAGGGCTATATATAAGGCCCTACCAATAAAATTCTTGCATTTTTATTTTTTTTGTTCTTGCATATTATCTTAACCATGTGAGTAATACAAAAATGAATAATACAAAAATGTTATAGAATATTATACACAAATGAATAATACAAAAATATTGTTATAAGCATGAAAATTAAAATTGAGGATAACATAAGCATGTATTTTAGCCGTTGGATCGCCAACAATTGTATGTAGGGGTGGGCATCGGAACCGAAGAACTGATTAACTGAACTAAATCGGACCCGAAAAAATCGAAAAAAACCGAAAAAAACCGTGTTGATAAAAAAGTCCAACCCAATTCAAAAAACCAAACCGAATCGGTTTTAACCGGTTCCAATTCCAGTTCTATACCCTAACAAATCGAACCGGACTGAACCGAACTGGCCAAATTAAAAAATATATAATTTTAATATTTATTTATATCCAATACTATATTTTTAATCCATAACTAATATTTACCCAAGTTCAATTTCAAAACATCTCTCTTTTCTAGCCTTAATATTTCTTTTTGTATGAAATTGGATAATTGGTTAATTTTCAAGCCAAAAAAATAAAATTTTAGTTGAAATTTGTATTAAAAAATAATAAAAATAATTCGGTTCAAAATCAAACCGGACCAAAACCGGACCTAAACCAATCTAACTTATTTTATAAATTTTTTTGTTAAAACTGGACCGAACCAAAGCAGGTAAATATTACCAATTTCGATTCCAATTTGAGGCAAAAACTAGCCCGAACCAGACCGTGCCCACCCCTAATTGAATGTAACTTAGAATCTTCAGAATATGGCTTTTTTTTTTTTTTTTTCACGTTATTCTTTTTTAGACCAATTTTTTTTCTTCACATTTATGGTGGAAATTGCAAGTGGAGAAATAGATAAAGATCTGATGTGAAAATTGTGGAGAGGCTTTTTATTTTATTAAAGTATTTTATTTTCTTGCCAAATTTAGGAAGGGAATGGTATTCTAGACACATCTATGGGGGTTAACTTAGACTATTGATGTGCTAGTCTATGCCATTTTCTATTGGCTTGGATACCGTTGGCTTTTAAAATATATTTAATGCCTTGTTGTTCATTTAAGTTTTTTTTAGTACATGCGATTAGGAGAGGGGGGATTTACATAAATATTCATTGGGTGCCTGAGAGTTTCGAACTTCTGCCCACACCATATGGATGGAGGTGGAAGAGCTTAACCAGCTGATTTTTACCCCATGAACTTTTTTTTAGTACATTTTTCATTTCACTTTATAAGGGTAAAATTTGGTAAAGTTGTGTACTGATTAGATATTAAGTCTAATGTTGTTTAATTAATTTGTAGTTGATATGTTTAATTAATTAAGGACCCAAGTAATTTCCCTAAAATGAAAGACATCAAATATATGTTTATGACTTTTTTTTAAAAAAAAAAAACCATATAAACAATGACATTAGATGTTAACTTTCCTTTGTGTGGGGCCTAGTTTGGTTTCATGGCCTTCAACAACCAGCTTCTTATATTTATGTATGTGGCTGCATCCCTCGCGCTGGGCTGGGGGATTTATTGCCCAAAAAGTGGACCATTGGGATGGCTTTTCGGCTTATATTGCTACATCTTGGAGCCCAATAGTGGTTCAGCCTGACTTACAATCCCCATTGGGCTTGACCTAAGTCAAATAAAGTACACGTTAATGTTAACCGAATCATTCTATAGTGAGGGACTTATATATGATTTTTAGGTGAGGTTTTATATTTTAACCGTTGTATTAGACTAACCAATTTGAACGCTTAAAAAATAGACCTCGCATAAGGGCCATATATAAGGCCCTAACAATAAAATTCTTGCATTTTTAATTTTTTTTGTTCTTGCATATTAACTTAACCATGTGAGTAACTGGAATTAGAAGTTTGATTATGGGCTAGAAAATATTACAGAATATTATACACACATGAATAATACAAAAATATTGTTATAAGCATGAAAATTAAAACTGAGGATTTCTGCCCCTTATTTTTTGGACAATGTATATTTTTTTTCATGTTTATGATAGAAATTGCAGGTGGAGAAATAGATAGAGATTTGATGTGAAAATGTGGAGAGGCTTTTTATTTTATTAAAGTATTTTTATTTTCTTGTCAAAGTTAGGAAGGGAAAGGTATTCTCAAACACACCTATGGGGTTTAATTTAAGACTACTGATGTGCTAGTCTATGTCATTTTTTAATTGCGCTAGACGCCTTTGGCTCTTAAAATATATTTAATGTCTTGTTTACTCTTGTTATATTTGTTTTTCATTAAGTCTTTTTTAGTAAAAGTGATTAGGGGAGGGGGTTTTACACAAATATTCATTGGATGTCTAGGAATTTCGAACCTCTGTCTACATGAATGGAGGTGATGGTGAAGGGTTCAACAGCAAAGTCCATGCTTGACGTAGGTCCTCCACTATATATGATCAAAGTATCTTTCGTAATCCAGAAAGAAACTATTTATCTTCAAAGTTCAAAACAGAAAGAGACGTACATACTGAAGCCCATAACAAAATTCTCCACTGGGCATTGGGAAGGGAGAAATGGATAATAGGATATGGTGATGGTGATGGTGATGTTATGATTCTCCCTCCCATTTCCTTTTTTCTATATTTTTATTTATTTATTTATTTTATTTTATAAGATTATCCTCCCAATTCTTGTATATATTATGAACTGCATATGCAAGCTACGACTGTCCAACTGCCAACTGCATTTTTTGAGTACTTTGAAAGAGAGAGTGAGAAGGAAATGACAACGGTTTTTGCAAGAGGAGCACAAACCATGAACACCATGGTTTTCAAGTAAGCATTCCAACTTCAATTCTTCCTCCTCTTTTGCATCTCATGTAAGTAACATGTTGTATATGTTATGTTAGTAGATTGTCAATCTAAACCACTCACGATATGAATTCTTATTTGCATATGTTGTATATGAATCTAAACCACGTTAAGATGCAATATTCAATTTTGAAATATGTTGATTAACTTCCACAATAATTTTAGAGCAATATGTTGATAAATAATTAATAAATATGATGAGCCAAGTGGATAAGAACAGAGACTAAATTGTGTCTCTCTAACAAATATGCAGGCCCATAGGTCGAAAACATTTTCATAAGAACAGCTCTTCAGCGGATGTGATTCGCGAGACGAAGAAGTTTGAAGGTGATGAAGTGAAGCACAAGACCCATATGGGAGAAAATGATAGCAATTTGTGGGTCCCCCATGAGAGGACTGGAATTTATTATCCCAAAGGCCAAGAGAAAGTGATGGACGAAATCCCTCCTAGAGCTGTCAAGGACATGGGTGTCAATTGGTTTTCAAACAATGAAAATTAATTGGTTAATTAATTTAAATGCCTATAAGATGTTGTACAAATCAATAATAATGTGGTTTTTCAATCGGGTTAATCTGTAATATCTGATTTGTTAAGTTCTTAATGATGTGAAATAAGAATTGTTTCGAATATTTCTCTCTTGCTTATTTTTATTTTTAACAAGTTACGATACGCTTCGTACGATTTTTAATTTCTAATTTTGAAATTTCTTGTTTCAGCTGAGCCGCTATGTGGTACATGGTTGTCTTTGTACTCATTGTTTGACTTCACCATGGTCATTTCTCTAGAATACGTTATGTCATGTTTGAAATCTTCTTTCGCTTGCACCTTGTTTCATCCTTGCACCGATCGATCTCTAGTTTCTGATGTTTGAAATCTTTTAAGATGATTATTTGAAGTATAGGTATAATATGTTATAATATTATTTACATGCTTTGTCAAAATTTGTGTATTATAAAATGATCATGTTTTTGGGACAATTTTGTTAGATAATTTCGATGATACAAGGCAAACTTATTAATAGAAGAACCTCAACTTTTTATCAAGCTCTATATTAGAGCGATTCCACCGAGGAGTCCAAGCCCAAGGCTGTGGGGGGTAGGGCTGCGCGAAAAACCCAGTTCCACCGGGCCACTTTTGCCCGGACTGGCTGTGGGACTCACGAAGACAGGCTGCCACGAAGGCAAGTATCGCCCGAGGGGAGGATGACGTCAGCGCGCGGTTCAAATTTTTTTTTACCGTTGGTGCTTGCATTGCAAGCGCCAACGGTAAAAAAGAATTGAACTTGAGTGCGCTGATGTTAGCCCTGCGCGTTTCCAACGGCTAGAAGACCCGTGTCTTTGCCTGGGTGCTCCGATCTTCTTTTCCTCCTCTAATCAAACGGCTGGGCTTTTTTTGGCTATAAAATTATGAAAAAAATTCGAAATTTTTTTTTAAAAATACCAAAAAATTCTGAATTTTTTTTCTTCTATAAATACCTATCAATACCCTTCACTTTCAACATCAATCCTCATACATTTTCTTCTACTTCTACTATTATCCACTCTTACTCAACATTTTATTCTCTTTCAAATTGTATTTTTATTTCTTATCTTTATGGCTTCTTCTATCGAAACCGGAGGGGCGTGGAGCACCATGGAAGATGTTTTCTTGTCTGAGTCTTGGCTCCAAATTAGTCATTGTCCTATGTCAGGCAATGAGATGAAATTTTGTCATATATGGAAAAAAACTCATGCCGAATTTTGTGAAAGAATTCTGGGGTCGACTTCTACGGAAATAGCATTCTCTAGTAGGTGGAAAATTCTCTATAAAGAGTTGGCAAAATGGAGAGATGCCTTGGCAAAAGAGAGGAACAACCATAGAAGCGGGGAAAATCTTAGTAGCGAGGTATATATTTTGTAATTTTCGTTTTATTAAGTTTAATGTCCTAATATATATATATATTAATGTTTCTTTCATTGTCAATATTCTGTTAATATTTCTTGCATTTTCAATATTTCTTGCATTTCCAATTTTTTCTTAATATTTCTTGCATAAATAATATTTTGTTAATATTTGTTGCATTTCCAATATATTTGTAATGTTAATTTCATTTCCATTTTTTTTATGTTACTTGCATTTCCAATATATTTTAAATATTTATTGCATTTTCATTATTATTATTTTGTTAATAGATTATACAAGCACAGATGTGGTTTGGTGCAATTGGGTAAGGCAAAAACCATCATGAATGTTGGGAGGTGGTGAAAAATTACAAACGCTTCAGAATTATTCCCACGGGTCAACGAGATGCCACTCCATGATTCAACGACATTGGATTCACCTCTCGATTCCCTTATGAGTTAAGACCCACCCATCGAAAACGAGTCGAGGCCCATTGGCCGAAAGGCTGCGAAGGTGAAGAAAATGAGTAATTCTATCACTAATACATCAAAAATTTTGGAGGAAATTGCAAGGCAGGCTGCCATAAGAATTGAAATTGAGAAGAAATACCAAGAGAATGATATGGCAATTCGAGCAGTATATGTACAAGAAAGGGAGTATTTGAGCAAAACAACACATTGAGAAGATGGATCGGGAAACTATGGTCATGGCTACAAGCCATATGTCCCCTGAAACAAAACAATTTTGGGAGCACG